GGCAAATTAGCCATGAATTTTGTCACGAATAATTAGTCACGAATAATTAGCGACGAATGTTGCGACGAATACAGTTCGTGGCAAATTAGCGACGAATTTTGCCACGAATTTTTTTCGTTGCAATTTAGCGACGAAAATTGAAATTTTTCGTTGCTAAATTTTGCAACGCCGTATTAGCGACGAAATTTTTTTCATCGCAAAATTCGTCGCAAATTCATTTAGCAATGAATTTTGCCAAATTTTTCGTGGCAAAATTCGTGGCTAAAACCTTATTTTTTTTGTAGTGTCCCCTTGTTGATAACGTAGTAGGAGACCTATCTTGAGATTCGCCAAATTTGATCTAGGAACATTTTTCCTATTCAGTGAGGAATCGGTTCTTTGTTGTGCCCCCGTTGTCATCCTAGAAGCCGGTCGAGAGCTGCACTTTGTCCGAGCATCTTTTGCCCCGGCGATATACTCTCCATCCTCGTAGAACCAGGTAGACCACAGGTTTTATCCAACTCAACTCACCTAATAAAGGGATCGTGCTCTGATATCATCTATCACAGGCTGGCAGTTCCTTGGCTGCGAAATAGGTCGTGCGGCGCCTAGTGAGTCATTCACTCCAGTCCGCCCCTAGTTCTCTAGTTGTTCCGAAGAACAATACGGTGAATAGCTTCTTCGTATCGGATTGTACCACGCCCAGAATAGCTTGAGCGTCTGGTCCATTGAGCGATACACGTAAAATACTTTAGGCACCACAACTGATTTCAGCCTGCCATGGCTTCATTACGAGGGCGATATCAGCTCCCAACCAGTTTGTGCACGAGAGACCAACCTTGCCTTTAGAGCTTATAAGGGTATATTCATTCAATCCTAGAACTCTTAGCACCAACCGTCCTGACATTATTCTCACGACCCAGTTGTATTCATCCCTTTTGCATCCTCACTCTTCACCCGATCACCCTGAGCACCACTCACAAGGATACGAAAATACGAAATAATCACGTTCCATGGCAGTTGCCTATGTATTGTGTGCCAGGCATTTGTTCCTAACACTGGGCGTGGAATTCAAGGGGCGACATCACACTGTCTAGGTCAGAATTTTGCAAAAATGTTTGAAATATTCTTTGAGAATAAAAAGAGAGAGAAAGCCATGGTCTGGCAGAACACGTGGGCCTATACCACTAGAACGGTATTTTTCCCTGTGAACTTGTTTCTAGTTTCTACAACTCGTTTCAGGATGTTTTCGAATAGGTCTGAGATATGCCCTTTCAATTGTTTTGTCAAGCTTCTACATGAATTTTTTTTTTTGGTCTGAAGCATCAACTTGAATTTGGTAGACAGCTTTTCATTACCTTTCATCATTTTGGATAAATAAAATTTAACCATTTGCATAATCCTTGTGAGACTGGCTGTAAAAATTTGCTGCCATTTTCCAAATTCTGTTCAGATTGGGGCAATGGTGATGGTTCCTGGGGATGATAAGGGGTTGGTTCTCCCTCCCAAAGTGGCATCAGGGCAAGTTATCATTATACCTGTTCCATATAAAGATGCTGATACTCAAGGTATCTTTGATGCCTCCACAGCCACCGTTACTACCTTATGTGAACAGGTGTTCGTGCGGAGACGGACCTCAGAGATAAGTATTCACCTGGTTGGAAGTACTCACATTCGGAAATGAAAGGCGTTCCTCTAAGAATTGAAATTGGACCAAAGGACTTGGCAATTAATCAGGTAAGAAGCAACTTGCTTCTTGACTATTCATTTGTTTGTGGCATAATCACCTGCTGATTACATTTTTTCTTCACAACCCCTATATTCTTGTTGGAGATAAGAGTGACACCTTGACATCAACAAACAGGTCCGAGCTGTTCGATGTGATAATTCTGCTAAAAAGGATATACCAAGGGCTGACTTAGTTGAGCAGGTGAAAGAAATGTTGGCCAACATTCAACAGAGCCTGTTTGATGCTGCAAAACAAAAATGTGATGCCTGCATTCAAGTTGGAAAACATGGGATGAATTCGTGGAAGCACTAGGCCAAAAGAAGATGGTTTTGGCTCCTTGGTGTGATGAGGAAGTATGTTTCCAGTACATTCATTTCCATTCATGATTATCTTGTGCCGAGAGTTCTTTCCTCGGTTGGCATTTACTTATATATGTTATTTGATTCCTTCTGTCACCATCCTAAACTCTTAGCTCCAAATCCTGTGTGGCAGTTGTTTTTTGAGAGGAGAAAAGAGTCTTATCTTTCATTCGCATTCATATTTTTGGCACTTTATATGGCTTTGTCGGGAGAGAAACTCGTTAGCTTTAGGGAACCTCTAATGAAAGCTTAAGATATAATAGCTCTTGCTGTACTTTGGGGTAATTTTTCAGTCTACAGTATGCTTTTGTTAAACTGTGAATTGTTCTTTGGTGTAAATATAGCTTGCAATCTTCTTGGAATACATTTCCTTTTAGTATGGCACTATCTTTTTCTCTTTTTCTCTTGAAAGCTTTTGCATTCCTTACTTTAGGAGGTGGAGAAAGACGTAAAAGCACGGACAAAGGGTGAGATGGGAGCATGTAAGACACTTTGTTCCCCATTGAACAGCCAGTGCTTCCTGAAGGTATCACGATTCATTTTCATAACTAGGACATATTGATCTTTGCCACTTTAGTTCATGATGTCTGTCCATGGGAAAAGCCAATCTCTCAGCAAGGTTGGAATCTGAACAACAAATGTCTTGTTTTTAGATTGTCTTCGACCATTTCACAAGTTCGAAAACCTGAATTGGCATTGACGTGCTGAGCTAAAACTCTCTTTTTTCTTGTCAGCGTTTTAAGGCCTGGTTGGTGTTCTCATGTTATTCAGGAAGTCTAGCTGCGGGTCGTGCTTCACGTCACTTCTTCATTGGGGTTCATGCAGTTACTAAAATGCTTGCTTCTAGAAAGCCCGCTAAAAGGTGAAGCTACTGGGGCAGGCGTTACTAGTTCTACTTGTGGTCCTCCTCTTAGCGTTGAGATTCTCCATGCGAAGATCATATCGGCCCCAACTTATAGCGAGCTCAGTCCTGTACTTTGCTAGGCCGCAAATTCAGACTATTAGTATCGACATTGGCTTGAGCCGCTCAACTTTTCCAAGTCATGGTTTGGTGTTCTTTTTTTCATACACAGGTGATGCTTGGATAATGCTTTGAAATATCGAGTAATACCACCACAAAAAAAAAAAATTGATATCCAATAATACTCTTCTGCGCTGAGTTAGAATTAAGGCGATTTGTTTGCTGCTAGGATTTTGTTTTATCTTTCATCTGTTGGTTAAGACAGGTGGTTTTCTTATGTTGTTCGCGCTCACGGCCGGACCATGGTTCATTGATGAAGTGCAATCAGGGCTCGTGGTTCTTGTGAAATCTACGTGGGATCGGCTGCCATGTATCCGATTCATATGGACTCGGGACCAGGCAATTACGTATCCGTGCTTGGAGGTCGTCATACACGGGTAGGCTCTACAGCCGTACGATGAACGGCCAATCCACATCGAAAGCTAGGAATGAACTACGATTTAACCGCAAGTTGCGGTTTTTTTTGCTAAGCGCATTGTAGTTTGAGAACGGGAGGGGAGCTAGACGATTTGGTTAGTGGGTGCAACGTGGAGATTCATACTTTTGAGTGCTTGTGTGATACCAAGAGAAAAAAAGAACACGCAAAATGTAATTGCACCACCGAATGATTTTCTTTCAGAAAGGAAGTTAAAGAAGAATGAAATCATGGGTTGAAAAATCGATTTACATATATTAATTTGCAAAATGAGGTCGAAAAAATTTAAGATAGCATATGAATAGGTGGTTGGAGTTAACTTATTCCCCCTACGTGGACGGTGTAATAACTCTTTCTTCTTTGCCACAAATTCTGTACCACACGACTGACAAGAGCTATTGAGATTTTTTTTTTTTGGTCAGAGAGCTATTGAGGGCCCGTTTGGTTCAGCATTTGGAAGGGGCTTTTGGCCTTGGAAGCCCCTTGGCCAAATGCTGAACAGTTTGGTTCAGCATTTGGATCAGCATTTGCCAAATGCTAGCATTTGGAATGCTAGCATTTGGAATGCTGAACCCAAATTTTTTATCCCCAAACTACCGTTAGTTATTTTGGCTTATTCCGGTTTTGCCCCTCGTGTGTACTGTTCATCTTCTTCTTCGTGAGGTGGCCGGCGAGGGAGGCCGGCGAGGCGGCCGGCGCCGGATCGGGCCGGCGGCCGTCGCCCGAGGCCGGCGACCCTCGGCGAGGGTCGTGGGACCCAAGGTGCCGCCGCCCGGGTCGCGCGACTCGGGCATTGCCGCCCGGGTCGCGAGCCGCCCTGGGTCCCCCGACCTCGCCGAGGGTCACCCGGCTCGGTGTGACGGCCGCAGCCCCACATCTAGCCCGCCACGGCCGCCCGACCTCAGCGACGGCCGCCGGCGCCAGATCTCGGCTCGCCGGCGGCGGCCACGGCGCACGGCCCCGGCTATTGAAGGGTAAGTTAGGTTTTTATTCCCAAAGTCCATTTGCAAAAATAATTCACCAAACACTATATTTTGGCCAAAGTAACTTTACAAAATATTTTTACCAAACACCATTTGCATTTTCCCAATGGGCTTTCACCCAAAGGTATTTGCATTTCCCCAAGTAGCATTTTCAAAATTGAACCAAACGGGCCCTGAGATTTTGTAAGAAATGAAATTGCAAAATTTTAATAACAGTCTCGTGTCATTGCCGTTTATAGTGATTTCTCTCGCATCATGTGGAGAGAGTTACTGGCGCCTCCAATATTTTTATTCGTCTTTAACAATTAAATTTATATATTATTTTTAATTAAAATATAGAGAAAGTTTCCAAATGTTAGTAAGAAATTAATTTGTTACTGTTGTTAGTTCTAACTTCTCGGTATATATTTTAGCAATAAAATTAACGTGTGAAAGACTTAGGCAGACTCGTAAAAAAAAAAAAAGGAAAAAAGAAAAAGAATCAGGCAGCCAAAAAAAAAAAAGAAACTTGAATATGAAACTTGTTTCTTTGAAGTCCCAACCAAAGTACTCTTCCCTCGCCGTCGCCCACAGAGTTGAGCTCAGTGGAAGCGGAAGCGCCGATAGACATCGAGCCGCCGCCGCCGCCGCCGTCTCCGTCATCATCGTCGGTGACCTACAAATTGGTCCCGTGGTTGAGCTGGGACGAGTAGGACTCCGTCCGAGCCTCTCTCTACTCTCCTGCTCCGGAATCCGTCACCTCCGCTCTCCGAAGGGCAAGCAACTTGAACGCTGTTCTCTTCAAACCGTATCGTCGTCGTTGCTTTTCTCATTCTCAGTATCTGTAAAACTAGTTCAAAGTAGGTTCTCGTGTGTCCGTGGGTGGTCGCCTAAATTAAAGGTGGAGGATTTGTTTGATTATGCTTTTGGTGGGTTGCTTGTTGCTAGAGACGAGTGGGAATATATAGCGTTCGTAGGAGTAGTTTGATGGTTTATTTGATTGCTGGTTAATGGGGTCGCGTTTCGGACTATAGATTACAGACATTGTACTTTTCTTCTTTTTAGCTTTTTTTTTTGTTCCCTTAGAAGTGCTTCGGCTTGCAGATAAACAGCGTGGAGAAGCAGAGGATGTCTTCCTGTGGCAGTCGAAGTCACAGCTTCCATCATCGAAATTCAGCTGAAGGATCCTTTCTCCAGGTACTTCATTTGCATTCCGCCTTGCCGTGTTGTGGGGGGGGGGGGGGGGGGGGGTGGGGCGGGGGGTGTTTAGTTTCCTATTAAGTTATTCACCTGCTGATTTCGCACGACATGTTTGCTTTTTGAGATTTGGTTCATTCCATGGGAATATTGGCTGTGTCATGCCACTGCAATTCATCGATGCGTTTTTATTTATTTATTTATTGCAGAAAAAACCTGCCTCCCAATTCTTTCTTTGATTACGATGAAACCCTGGCTATGCTCTATTGCATGGCGATTATGAGGTGAGAGTGAGACGTATTTGATTAGCTTGTGATTCTCAGTTCGGTCCTTTGCATTATCTTCGTCAGAGCTCAAAGAGTTTGAGGTGGAAATAGCGACTTTGTCTCTTTAAAGCATGCATCGCGTAGTTTCCATATCGTCTTATCTTGCGATATAGAACTTCCAGTCTGGAAGCATTGGCCGTACCTGCATCTAACAACTTTTATGCATGACGGCCATCTGTATGCAAGTAGCAGTGGGATGTGGGCTTCAAGTGTTGTTCTGGGATAGGCTTATATTGCTTTTTCATTTGACTTTTGAAAATTTTTAGACGATAGGTTTTGAAAGTTAGAGATTGAATGCGGAGGGCTGTCTTTCTGGAAATTCATGTGTACGCTTAGTTCTGTTCACAGTAATAAAGTACACAGTTTGTTTGAATATTTCTTACTTCAAATTCTCAGCATCCTTGGCTGGGGATTTACTTGAAGTATTACCTGCTGGCCAAGCATTTCAACGATTAAACATTCGTCTGTGCTGATGTAGAAGTTTTTGGTCAAGTTGTTTGAACTCATGTGCACCATTTAGCTAGTGACATTCACTCGAGATTTTAAATGGTCTTTGTCCCAGCTATTGCGGTCTGAGAATCATTCTTCCATTGGATGTAAAATGATTTTGTACAGGCTGCTAGTCCTAAGTTTCTAATGTTCGAATATGAAAACCATCAGACATTAACATCAGATGTGTCCCCATGTGCAGCTAGCTTTTGGCTTTTGGCTTCTTGCGTATCTTAATGCAGTGAATTCCAATTTGTATATTATCCTCAAGTTACCTTTTCAAACTCCTATAGGACTTGCGGATGCGTGCTAACTCTGTCTTTTAATGTTTTACATTGCTTTGTAATAGCAAGAAGGGGAAAGAAAATTGCCTGACGGAGAGGGAAGGCTGGGAGATAGATTTAGGGTTCTGAACCAAAGAGAGGAGATGGCAAATGAGAAGGACAAGATGTATAAGCAAAAAGAGAAGGATCTTCAGGAAGCACAAAAGACGATAGATGAAGCTAATCTAACATTGTCAAGAAAGGAAGAGGATATGAGCAGCAGGCTGGCGAATTTAAAGTTGAAAGAGAAGGCAAGCCTTTCTGATGCTGATCACTTAAGATGTCGACAACGGGATGATTCTAATCTAACGCATTCTTTTTGGCTGCAGGAATTTGAAACAACGAGAAAGAACTTAGAAATTAAAGAGAAGCAGTTGGTTGCTACAGAAGAAAAGCTTGATGCCAGAGCAATGGTAAGTACTTGAAATTTGGAGATTTGCATTTACCTAGTATTTGCTGGTAAATAGATGTCTTGATGACTTACCCATCGTGGGAGTAACACGAGGATAATATGTTCTACATAACTAACTTTTTGCGGTGCGGTCCCTACTCCTTTTCTTGTCCTTCCGTTATCTATCTACTAACAGTCAGGTTGTGGTGCTTTATAACCATGAGTCTCTGCACACTGCCAGATTTTCTACCTCTCCAGTATCGACTCCCCCCTCCTTGCCCGTGCTCCCCAAAACAAAAATAAATTAAGTGGAAACTCTATTTATTATGGTGTGATTTGATGGGCTCAGTCAGTCTTGTCAGACTTACAGAGACCGGTGTGTCATCGCAAAGATATGCTGGAAAGATTACTCCTACTGGAGTACTCTTTATCAGTCACTTTAATCATCAAATTTCTGTAGCAATTTAAATAATCTTCTAAACATTCTTAAGATTTGACACTCCTTGTGCTTGGTCCTCTTCAGGATGAAATTCAAAAGATCTTTGAGGATCATGCTCGTGTTTTAAATGTGATTGAAAAAAATTATAAGTTGGAACTTGAGCAAAAGATGAAAAAATTTGATGAGGACTTAGAAATAAGAGGATTTGGCATACAGATTAAGGAAGCTGAAATTAAGCTCAAAGAGGATATACTTGTGAAAAGAGAAAAAGCAGTGGAGAACAAAACTGAAAAGCTCAAGGAGAAAGAGGATGAATTTCTGAAAGATCTTGAGGAAATGAAGAAATTTCTGGAGTCTGAGGATCAGAAGCTGGAGACTCAGAAGAAATCGGTCGCTGTTGAGAAAGAGGAGTTGCTCAGCTTTAGGGCTGCTCTTGAGAAGATAAGAGCGGAAAATGAAGAACAGCTGGTGAAGATCCGCATGGAGAAGGATCAACTGAAAGTGAGTGAAGAAGAAAGGTCAGAATTTGTGCGTTTGCAATCTGAATTGAAGGAAGAAAGAGAGAAGTGCAGACTTCAAACTGAGGACTTGAAGCAGCTAAAGGAAGCTTTTGAGAAGGAGTGGGATGAGCTTGATGAGAAAAGGACTCAGATTGAGAAAGAAAGGATTGGAAGGGGAGCCGCGCGAGAGATTGAGATCAGAGACCGAGAGAGCGTGAGAGTGAGAGCGGAGAGCTGGGAGTCCCTCTCCGCCTGTAGGAGGTCCCGAGATGCCGCCGATGAGCCCCCAGCCGCCGCCGATGAGCCCCCAGCCGTCGCATTGCTCCCGACCAGCCGCGAACCAGGTGGGCTTTCTTCTATATTCTGCTTTTAGGCCGATGGTGGGTTTGTTTCTTTATTTTTTGATCACGTCTTAGCTTACTCACGTCTTTCTTCTTCTTTTCCTGGAAAAAGGAGAATATTCCTGTTCAATGTCGACCTCGCAAAGAGGGGGCGACCATGGCAACCGCGGAGAGCCCAGCTCCACCTTCGACTTCGACTACAGTGAGTACCGTAAGGCTTTGCCGTCTTCGCTGGCGGAGCTGCGTTTTGCTAATGAAGTCGAGAGCAGCAGTGCTAGGATGGCTTATCTCTGTGAGTGGTTTAATCTTCTCTAAGTGTGAAGTTCTAGAAAATAAATTATTTCTCTAGGTTGTCTGGTGAATAATGTTTATATTGATTATCTCAAAACATATGAATATTTTCGTTTGAAGCTCTAAGCATGAGCAAGCTTACATGCATATAGGTAATTACTTCTATTTTTGAGGTTACTTCACGTGTGTATGTTTGCTGGCTGTTATGATGTAGGTCGATCTTGTGCTCTTCAGAAGGCTCGCAGGTTGGATCCGACATCTAGTGGACGTGTTAGTCTTTTGGAGACTAGTGCTCTTCGGCTTTTTAAAGGGGTAAGCACTGCTACTCCATTAGGAGCAATTACTTCCTTTCCCCCTATGTAAGCGGTGTTCTGTCTGGCAAAACACGCGCTCATTGCTGTAAATATGGATCTAATTTAGTTAAGTTATTTGATTTCTTTCAATTTCTTTCGATTAGCATTTTGAGTCTACGGGGTTATACAAATTGATACTTACAAGTGAGGACTATTTCCATGTACCGGTCAATCATTTAAAGCTAGGACTCTGTAATTTGCCACTTTTTCTTGTTCTCTTTAAGAAGAACATATGGAGTAACTTTTTACGTATCTAAGTTTTAAGAGTTAAACTTCTTTTTGATCTTTTCTGTTTTTCTTGCCATGCTCAGTCCTTTTGAAGGTACCTTCTTTTCTGATGAAATTCTGTAATGTTTCTATCGATTTCCAGGTAAATGATCCAACCGTAATGGAAAAGGTTAAAGAAAGTGATGAAATGCGGATGCTTTTGCGCAGTTATTGTGTACGATACTATTTTGCTCATCAGAGGACTGCTGGTGAAGCTGATTGGTAAGCCCATAGAGTTACTTTACATAATGTGTCGGGAAACTTTGCTATTACCTTCCTAGTTTTCAGCAGCTAACATGGTCTCAAATGCAGTACTGCCGAGACTCTCGATAGGTTTTCGGTACTTAGTGAGGTGTGGAGAGATCTTGATTACGAGCATTCCATGAAAATTGATCAGGAGGTAAAGCTTTGCACATGTCTGAAACTTACTACATGATAAATATCTTGTCTGATGAGAGGGTATGTTGATTGGAATGAGATGTTTGCCATATTATTAAATTCTTTCTTGCCTGACAGCAGGGGCAATGAGCTATATAGCCAATTTCCACTTAGTAAACAGATTCTTCTTTCCTTTTCATAGTACACGCCCGCGAGTAATATCTCTTCACATTTACGTTTGTACAGATTTCGGATGGAGGTTTCAACATTCTCCCTCTGGATCCTGCTAGTGCAAATCAGGCGATTATGAAATATCCTGAGGTTGCATCCCCTTCCATACATTGAAATGTCATGTTATGGCCTCACTTTCTAGCAATACATGAAAATCTTGCTGCATGTAATTATTTTGCTTTGTAGATCCAAGCTGCTATTGTGGCGCTCCGTGACACAAGGGGCCTGCCATGGCCAGAGTACCACAAAAAGAAGCTGGATGGAGACCTTCTTGATTGGCTTCAGGCAATGTTTGGATTTCAGGTACGTGGACTAAGCAACTTCCTCCATTTAATCTTCTATTAGCTTGCTTTCATTTCTCATTATCTTTTTAGCTGATAAGCAGTTATATTCAGACTAATTCTGGGTCCTTGGACTGTCAATCTACAGAAGGATAATGTGGCAAACCAAAGGGAACACTTGATTTTACTGCTTGCAAATGTGCACAATCGGAAATTTCCAATCCCCAACCTGCTAATCCAGGTGTCTTGCCCGCAATCAATCCTAGAAGATGCATCTATTTTGTCCATTTGCAAGTAAATTACTACAGTATGAGATGTCTTTTTGCTTGATTGTTTTCGTATTGGTTCGAGGGGGAGGTTTCAATCATTTGCGTATCTGCTAGTATGTTGTCTGGAGAATTAAGTGATGTAACTAATTCAATGGAATACCTGTTAACTGCCCATCCTTCCCGTGAGAAACCCTCTTGTTGAGTGGGCTTGTTTTGAATGCCTCACACTTCCTTGACCTTTTTTTCTGACAAATTTCATAAGGGGACCCCACCCAGTCACCTCTTGTGTCACCCTTTACGCTGGCTTCTATTCTTTTACTTTTCGACAACGAGTAAGCCTTTCTTGCGAAGGTAAGCTTTGAACTATGGCAAACCCATTGATCTAATAAGGTTCCGCCTGATTCTGTGGTTGATGAATCCTTCTTATTGAGTATAAAGGAGTGCAAGCACCATTTAGACATCTCCACTGTCTTTGGCATTGAGAGAGATCATCTTGAGTTCCTTTTTCCATGGCTTGGGCTTGGGACGACCATATCTCTTCCTTCCTTGCTATATTGAAGGCAATGTAATTATTTCTACAAACAATTGCAGTGCTTGTGATTCTATCTCATCGAGGATTCAGTCTAATATGACGAGTACTGCTAGCTGAGGCTGTTGTGGTTTTCTCTGTTATCCTGGTTCTGCTATTTCTTATCCACTTTATCCTATCAATATGCGATTTTGAGCAGAAGCTGCAGCGATGATAGGCTCTAATGAAATGAAGGATGTTGTCTAATATGACAAGTAAAGCTATCTGAGGCTGTTGATGATGCTGTTTTCCTTGTTTTTTTGGTTCTGCAACTTTTTCCACTTTATACCCTATCCATTTTCCACTTTATATCTTATTGTTATCTGAATAGCAGAAGCTGTATCAATCATGGGCTGTCGGAACATTTCCCTTTTCTCCCTGTGTGTACTGAGTTCTCATCTATATGATATGGAACTTCGAGCCTAATCGCGTGAGTCATGGATTGTAATAACATTTATTTGTTGTCCAATCTTAGACAAGGTGCTTGTTTATCCTATTTTGTTTTGGATAATAGTATTTATGGACATAATCGTGATTATGGCCTTTGCAATTTTAGTATGCTGACATGCTTGTTTGTCTTCTTGGTTAGTTGGACGATCGAGCACTTACAGAAGCGTGGGAGAAACTTTTCATGAATTACAATGAATGGTGCAAGTTCTTGAATAGGAAGAGCAGTCTTTGGTAATGCTTCTTCTGCTAATTTATCTGGCGAGTATGGCAATTATGTGGAGCTATTAACGCTTTAGTAGAAAACTGTGGATGTGCTTGTTAGGGGTTTCTTCTAGGAAAAAAATGGGATTAGAACTTATTTTGTGGGGACAATACTAAAGGATGAAGTCCGACTTTGGTCGTGTTGCGTTGTTTCTTAAATTTCATCCTCCAACTTCTTTGCTTTTAAATCAAGTGTAACTTATTTAATTTTTAACAATCAACTGTTGCGTGGGTATGTGGACATGGTGCTGCTGATGTGGCAATTTGGGCTACATGGGATACTTACCTGTACCGGAAAAGGAAATCAGAAAAGAACTCATCTTTAATGTCCACGTCTGTATTACTGGGGAAACTTATTGCAGGAAATTTAAATAATGAAAAGTGTAATGCAAACTTAAATTAACAAGAAATTGTGGTGACTTTCGATAAGATGCAAGGTCCTGAGTCGACCTTGATGAAAATAAGAGAAAACATGTCGAGAGAAACATTTATATTTTGAATAAAGCAAAATTAGAGAGCATAACTTGAGGTGATGCTATTGAATAAGAATGTACCTCCTCCATCGCTTGTACAACTATTTTGTTAAACTAATCAAACTATCCTTGTCCCATGAAAACCTTGCCTATATCCCTTGAAGTGCCTTATCCTGTCCTTGTCCGTCCTCTACCAAATACACACTTCACACGTACACTTGGACATCACTATCAAACCAAAAACAATCATCAATATCAAAACCATATTCGGCGCCATCTAAATTTCAACAAGAGGAAATGTGTTCAAAGGGCCAGAGAAAACTCTTTTTCAATTGTTATTCAAGAATAATTTCAATTATTGAGATTGGAATTATTATTTCAAGTTGTTTGATTAGGAAAAATGCACAACAGAACTGAAAGTTGGAAGCGGTTAATGGGGTTCTGCTGGACCTTGACCAATGGCAGAGGTTTTGCAATTTGATTGTTGGCCATTGGATCCAAATTGTTGAGGCGATTAGGGTAAAGATAGCCATAATCTGGGTTCTGTAGCAGTCCAATTAATTTCACCACTCTAGCCCTCGCTGGTAGCTGGCAGAGGCGATGTCAGCTCCTTCGCTCTCTCTTATGTTCTCCTTTTTGTTTCTGATATTTCTTTGTATTGCTGATGCACCGCATTAGCACATGTTTACTGAATTTCCACATGAGCTGCTTTTTAACAGTGTTCATGATAGGACCATACCGCACAAACTGAGGAAGTTAGAGAGCTTGATTGTGTATAAAAGGTTGACAAAATCAAAACATAAGGGTACAAGTTACAGGATCAGACGAGAAGAAAAATCTTATTGCATCCTTACCCTTGGTTGGCTCCGTGGATTGTGCGGAAGCCAGCCACTATCATCAATTAACTTCACATAATGAACTGGTCATAAATTATATTGATGGAATGGTCTTTTTTTAATTCTTGATTTGCACCATTAGTGTATGCATCTGATCTCAATTCCTGATGAAGGGTGCCTTTCTTCATGTGCAACCTTGGTTGTAAATATGCAGGTTACCGAATACCCAGCAGGAAGTGCGGAAGTGTAAGCTTCTCTACATGGGTCTATATCTTCTTATTTGGGGGGAAGCAGCAAATCTGAGATTCATGCCAGAATGCCTTTGCTATATTTTCCATCATGTACGTTTCTAATGGTTTATGCTGCTAATATCC